GGGAAAGGAATGAACGCGGGGGGCCTCGTGATCGGTTCAACAGTTTTGATTCAAGGGGTGGCCGCGGCGGCAGAGGCCGTGGCTTTCCTGATAGAAGGGACTTGCCAAGTAGAGGCAGCAGAGGAGGCTACAGCCCAAGTCCAGAAAGGGGTAGTAGAGCACGGGGCAGTAGACGTGACAGCAGAAGCCCAAGTCGCAGCAGGAGCTACAGCCGAAGCAGGAGTTACAGCCGCAGTTACAGCCGGAGCCGGAGCCGGAGTCCAAGCCGCGATAGGTATCGCAGCAAGAGGACTCGAGTCAGCAAATTTGATCAAATGGAACCCGAGGGCCCTGGTCTGGTACCCGCTCCGGGACCCGCAACTCATCCTCCATGTCAAGGAAGTGGATTCGCAGGACCTGATAGGGGAGAGCCGAATTCTGCTTCAGCTGTTGAAGCCGTTGCTTCTACTAAGTCTACTGTAATGTCCCCCATGTCTCCCGGCGCACAATGATTTTCCGGTGCAGGTGACAGTCTGCCGTGGTGTCTCAGGGAAGAAGGTACTGGTGGTGACAGGGCGGCAGCGGCAACCACCATCCACCCTTGTCGGAGAGAGAGGAGACCGGGCTTCTTCGGGTAGTCTGGTCATCATCATCATCATCATCAACTTGTGTTTCGTCTAAATTTGGAGTGCTTTCTTCTTCTTCTTGTTTTCCTCATTGTTCGTCTGTGGGAGTTTTCGTTTTGGATTAATGTAGTGGCATAACATAGTACACTTTCACAGATTAAACGTCTCAGCCTTTTGATCATTACTAAAATTATTACTGAGTATTGTTTTTGAACAAATATTATTTGAATTGGTACGTTAGTACAATTGTTATTATTTGTTTATTACGGAGTACTACAATGGACTTGCCTTTCAACTATTATCCTTCGATTTGGTTTTCTGTTGTTTATTCATTTATTTCTCAAACATGGTGTGATTTTATTGCCAACTCTTTGGGCCTACTCATTACTCGTATGGTCAAATCCCAAATATGTTGGGTTGGTGATAAAATAAAAATTTTGATGTTGATATTTATGTAAAAGAGTGATATATTACCCCATGAATACCTTGGTTCCTGATAAATTTGATAAGGAAGAAGAAGATGATTTCATTGCTTGTGAAGTTTTCCCAACTCAACATTACAAAAGGGGTGCAAGCCCCGTAAATAGCCGAAGTCTCTTTCAACAGAAAGCCAGCTGGCACCAAACAATAACCGAAAATAAAAACCAAAATAACAAAACTAATCTAAGCTAATTACTAGTCTTCTCACCCCCCGCAAGCTGGGTGGAGAAGAAACCATACCCAGCTTGGACAAAAGGCGACGAAACGGATCTGCCGGCATAATTTTGGTGAGCACATCCGCAAGCTGATTGGTAGTAGGCAAATAAGAAAGTTCTATCAAACCTTCAAGCACTTTTTCTCTTGTGAAGTGATAATCAATATCGATATGTTTAGTTCGCTCATGAAAAACAGGATTGCGAGCAATGTGAAGGGCAGATTGATTGTCACAATGAAGGGTGACAGGCTTGAGATTGGAGACCTGAAGTTCTGTGAGAAGTCTGACCACCCATGTTATCTCAGATGCAACCTGGGACATAGCTCTGTATTCAGCTTCTGAAGAGGATTTGGAAACAACACTTTGCTTTTTGGATTTCCAGGATATGGGAGAGCCACCAAAGAGAAGAATGTATCCTGTAACAGATCTCCTGGAGAATGGGCAGGAAGCCCAATCCGAGTCAGAGAAAGCATGAAGAGAGAGCTTATCAGAACCTCTCATAAGGATACCTTGATCAATGGTTCCAGAAAGATAATGAAAAAGGTGGAGGGCAGCTTGCATATGAGATTCATCAGGAGATTGCATGAATTGGCTTAGCGTCTGAACAGAATAAGAAATGTCGGGACGAGTGTGAGTGAGGAAATTTAGCTTGCCAATGAGACTTCTGTAAAGAGTAGGGTCAGAACATTTAGGACTATCACCAGGTTGGAATTTAATGTGCTGAGGAAGAGGAGTCTTCACAGAAGGCTTATGGAGACAGTGATGTTCAAGGAGTAATTCCTGAGTAAATTTTCTCTGAGAAAGAACAATGCCATCAGTGGTATATGTTAATTCAAACCCAAGAAAATAATGGGCAATGCCCAAGTCCTTAATAGTGAAGGCCTTATCCAGAAAAGACTTAAGAGAAGAGATTTCTGATGGGTTGGATCCTGTGAGTAAAATATCATCCACGTAAACAGCAGCAATAGTAATGTGTTCAGCTGTGTATTTGAGGAACAAACAAGGATCAGAATAGGATTAAACATAACCCTGATTGGTAAAAGCAGTTTTGAGTTTGGAAAACCATTGTCTGCTGGCCTGGCGAAGACCATAAAGAGATTTCTTTAAACGGCATACTTGATTGAGAGAATTAGGAAAATCCAATGGAACTTTCATGTACACCTCTTCTTTCAAGTCCCCATGGAGGAATGCATTGTTAATATCCAACTGAAAAATGTCCCAATGGCGTGAAGCTGCTAGAGCAAGAATACATCTAATAGTAGACATCTTAACCACAAGAGAGAATGTTTCAGTGAAATCTAAGCCATATTTCTGGTGATTACCTTGGATAACTAGTCTTGCTTTGAAGCATTCAAGGGTACCATCAGATTTAAGTTAAACCTTGTATACCCATTTGCTGGATATAACTTTTCTTCCAGGAGGAAGGGACAGAAGTTCCCAGGTTTCGTTAGCCTGTAAAGCCTCAATTTCCTTGTTCATAGCAATAACCCACTGTGGATCAGTGGAAGCCTCAAAGTAGGTAGTAGGTTCAGTGTAAGAACACAAATGGGTAAGAAAGGCTTGATGTGAGGTAGGAAGGGCATTGAGGTGAACTAGATTACACCAATGAGATTGAAAAACAGTGGATGGAGATTTCTTGGTTAAAGTGGGACAGTGATATTGTTGAAGATAGGAGGGAGGGTGACAGATTCTGGAAGAAATCCTGAAAGGGATAGAAGGAGGAGAAGCTGGAGGAGAGTCATCAGGAGAATCAGGAGGTGAGGTAGAGTGGAAATGGGAATTGGAGTGGGAAGGTGTAGTATGGGAGGAAAGTGGAGGTGTAGGTGAAGGAAATGAAGAAAGAGACTCTGTAGAACTGGAGTGACTAGAAGAAGGATCAATGGATGGTGGGTAGAAAATATTAGACAAATCAGAAGGAGGATTTGGGAGAATAGATGAGGGACCAGAGGAAAGATGATGAAAAGGATAATAGTGCTCATGGAATTTAACATCCCTGTTGTAAAAGACTTGATGAGTATGAAGATTAAGCAGTTTGTATGCCTTTTTATTAAAGGGATATCCCAGAAAAACACAAGGAATGGCACGAGGGGCAAATTTTGTTCTATGGGAGGATAGTGTGGTTGCAAAACACAGACAACCAAATGATCTGAGGTGAGTGTATGTAGGAGATGTTTGAAAAACAATCTCAAAAGGGGTTTTGTTTTGAAGGATGGAAAGGGGAAATCTATTGATAAGGTAGAACGCTGTAAGCAAACAGTCCCCCCCAGTATTTGACTGGAAGTTTGGCTTGAAAGAACAGAGCCCTAGCAGTTTCAAGGAGATGTTTGTGTTTGCGTACAACAACCCCATTTTGTTGGGGGGTGTCCACACAAGTTGTTTGATGTAAAATACCACGGGATTGATAAAAGGCACGAGCAACAGTGTCATCAAATTCCTTACCATTGTCAGAGCGAATAACTTTGACAGTGGTACCAAATTGTTTCTCAATATATTGGATGTAACTAGTTAAAGCAGAAAAAGCATAGGATTTATGAGAAAAAAGTTGGATCCATGTAAGTCTAGAAAAATCATCAACAACAGTCACAAAAAATCTGTGACCACCATAAGTAGGCATTTTGTATGGTCCCCAAATGTCAACATGTAATAACTCAAAAATGGAAGTAGTTTTTACTGAGCTAGGAACAAAGGAAAGTCTGTGCATTCTAGCTTGTGGACATATATGACATATGGAAGAACAAGAGTCATTACAAGAAAGTTGATCAATGCACTTTATTCTATTGAAAGGTAAATGTCCCAACCTACAATGCCACAACTCAGTTTTTGAGAGACTAACGAAAGGAGAAATGAAAGAAGCATGAGCAGTTGGAGGAGAGTGTTGATCCACAAAGTACAAGCCAGCACTCTCTTTACCAACCAGCATAGAAGTCCTCTTTACAGGATCCTGGACAACACAATGAGTTGTATGAAAGACAAGGGAACAAAATAATGGGAAACAAGTTTTTGCACAGATAGTAAGTTGTAATGAAAATCTGGAACATGTAAAACATCAAGCAATTCAATGCCATTTTGCAGAATTACATTTCCAATATGGAGAACACTAGCTTTCTGCCCATTAGGAATAGTGATGAAACAAGATTTGTTGATGGGTTTGTAAGTGGAGAAACTGGTTAAGTGAGGGGTTATATGGTCTGAGGCTCCACTATCAATGATCCACTGAATTTTATTGCAAGAAGAAAGGAAACAAGAAGCAATACTTGCCAAATGATCATTGCAAGCCATGTTAGCAGAGAGAAAACCAGGCACAGATTTGTCTCCAGCATCATGAAAAGTCTCTTTATTCAGCATAGCAATTAGTTGATTATATTGAGAGGAAGTCAGAGACATGTGCTGGTCAGTGTTTAGATGCTCAAAAATGTACACTTGAGTTGTTGGAAGTGATAGTTTCTGTTTCAGTACATTCTTCAGAGAAAGCATTGCCAGCCACTCTCTTGCTTTGATTGAAACTGTTATTTCCTTTGCTGTTTTTGGGGTAACCATGAATCTTAAAACATCTATCAATTGTATGCCCATATATCTTGCAGTGTTGACAGAAAAATTTGGATTTCTTTCCACTTGGAGTGGTTCCAAACACAGGTTTGATATGTTGAACAGAAGCTAGAGCACTGGATTCTGAAACCAAAGGTGTTCTGGTGCTGCAATCCTTGTGACCTTCATCTTGTGTTATCAACTTATAAGCTTGATTCAATCTTGGTAATGGTGTCATCATCAAGATATTACCTCTCGCAGTCTTAAAAGAGTCATTAAGACCAAAGAGAAACAGCATCAACTGTTGCTGCTGAAGCAACTTGATATAACTGTTACCTGACACACATTTGCAATTTGGCAAGGACACCATAGTAAAGTAACTGTCCTAAAGACCTTTCAGCTTTGTGAAATACTCTGCCACGGAATCTGTACCCTGAACAAGTGTCACGATATCTTTGTGCAACTGAAACATTCTTGGAGCGTCACTGTGGCTGAACCTTTCAGACAGATCTTCCCATATTTCCTGAGCCGTATCACAATACAAAACACTATTTGCAATTCCAGGTTCAACAGAGTGTAAAATCCAAGAGATTACCAGATTATTACATCGATTCCATTGAGAGAGCAAGGGAGAACCCAAATCTGGAGTCCTACGGGTTCTAGTGACAAAACCTAATTTGTTTCGTGCACTTAGAGCAATTTCAGCCGAACGCTTCCACTGCGGAAAGTTTTCTCCGTTCAGTTTCTGAGAGGCTAGAAGAAAATTAGGTGAATCTGATTGATGAATGTACAGCTCGCTCTGAACGTCAATTGAACTTCGAGTCGAGGAAGAGATCAATTCGTCTCCCATGTTTAATCAATCGAAGAAAAGCAATGGAATCTATATCGAAGAAAAGAAAATGGATTAGGACAATTCATTCGAAGCAAAGGAACGGGAATCAGAATGGCTCTGATACCATGATAAATTTGATAAGAAGGAAGAAGAAGATGATTTCATTGCTTGTGAAGTTTTCCCAACTGAACATTACAAAAGGGGTGCAAGCCCCGTAAATAGCCAAAGTCCCTTTCAACAGAAAGCCAGCTGGCACCAAACAATAACCGAAAATAAAAACCAAAATAACAAAACTAATCCAAGCTAATTACTAGTCTTCTCAGCATTGAATCTCAATGTCATGAGATGACTCGAGGTTCGTACGATGCTCCTTCGAAGAATTAATGGTTCTTAACACTCTAACTTTCTGGTAAACTCTCCACCCCGGCCCGACTTGAATATACCCCGGCCCGGCCTGAATGTAACCCTGTACACCCGACAATTGCATGTAATAAGATTTAGTTGAATTTGGCGTCAAATTTTGACTCCAAAGTCAACTAAATTTTGTGACATGCAATTGATGGGAGTGCGGGGTATGTTTGAGTTGGGACTGGAGTGGGGGATCAACCAAAATCGATCTTTTGATCGCGGTTTATGAGTAATAATTGGCTGAATTTACAATATGTTAACTGTGACTAGAAGTTTACTTAAGCTGGTCGGCATGGTTTTCAAAATCAAATTGACAAAACTAGAGCAATGAACGCTCGTACGCTGCGACTGGACTTGGTTTTTTTCTATTTGTATTGGATATTTTGTGTTTAAATTTATTTAGGAAAAAAATAAAACGACCACACACAAACATACATACACACACATATCATTAAGACTATTGATATTTGCACTCCAACAATTACTAATGGCACTCCACCTTTTTCCCAAGCCAATTAAAGTGACAATTATATCCTTTGAACTTACGTATTCCACCAGTTTCTTTTTCATTTATTGTTTTTTCTCCTCTTCAGTGTTTTTTAATTACATTTCTTTAATCCTTTTGATTGCTTTTAATTTTTAAAAATACTTCCTCATCCCCGAATAAATTTTAGTTATGGTTTAAATAATTTCAATCAAATTTATTAATAATTTACTCACTTCCAATATTGATTTAAAATTAAAAATAAAATTTAAATATTTAAAATTGCATTAAAAATTAATAAAAAACTTGACATTAATTTTTGTATTGTCAAAAAGAAAATGTGACATTCAATAAATTAAATATTTCTATTTTTATCTATAGATTTTTTTATGTTTTAAATATGTCTATTTTTTTCATAAATGTTACGGAGTACTTTGTATATCGTTATTCAAATTACGTGAATGGAAAGCAACTTTATTAAAAGACATGAGAGTTTTTCTTAAGAAACAAATTTTATAAAAAACCCAACAACAAATATATAATAAAAAAGAATGGAAAAGGTAAAAAGCAAAAATAAAAAGAAAAACGGCAAGATAATAAAAAAGAAAAAAGGACGACAATGAGTAAATATTAAAGAAGGCTGAAAGGACATAGTTGTCACTTTAGAGATTTAGAAAAGGTTGGAGTGCCATTAGCAATTGTTGGAGTGCAAATAACAATTGACTATGATTAATTATAGTTAGATGATACTTTATAGTAAGATGACATGCTACGGTCAAACGACACAAAGATCACCCCAACTGCAAACCTCACCATTATTTTTTCCCACTTTGAGTTAGACCCAGGTTGACCACTGAATTGAGCCGTCGACAGCCGCCTTGACCACCCCCTCCGGCACCGTTGGTTGCCGGCCGCTGGTCTCTGCCACCGACCGCCGCCAGTCGCCGGTCAATAGTGGTCCAAGTCACCCTTTGATTTTTTTTAAAAAAATGGTGAGCTTCGTGTGTATGTTCGGTGAGTTTTGCATTGAAGAATGATGAGCTTTTTGGTTAGGGTTTGTGAGCAATGAAACTTTAAAATTTTAAAAATTCAAAGTGTGAAAAAATAATGGTGAGCTTTGTAGTGATCAGTTGTGAGCTTTGCATCATCTGACTGTATTATGGCATCTTACCGTAAGGTATCATCTGCCTAGAGTCGATATATATATATATATATATATATATATATATATATATATATATATATATATATATATATATATCGACTCTAGGCAGATGATACCTTACGGTAAGATGCCATAATACAGTCAGATGATGCAAAGCTCACAACTGNTCAAACAGTTAATTTTACCAAACATTTTTAATGATCAGTCAACACATCTTGCCGGTCGAACCAACTAAACTAAATAGTCATTCACAATAGCTGACATAAACATCCAACTGCTGATAACAACCATTCAAACAAGGCCATAGCCTTATAGGCAATACTCCTCTATGCAAATTAAATTGTATGTTTATTATTCATGTGGTCAAACTTTAATTACTTTATTTTTCATATTTTCATTAGTCATTTGATAAAATAATATAGTAATATAACCATTAGTTTTATAGATCTTTTAATGTAGTTTTTAAATATGTAATTTTCATTTTTTAATTCTACACAATTTTTAATTTAAAATGATTAGAAAATGACTTTAGTCAAAAATCGTAAACCAAAATAGATAATTTAAATTGGAACGGAGGGAGTAGTAATTTAATCTTAAAGTTAGAACGACCAAATTGCTCCAGTGCCTCTGTGGTTTGAAAAATTGGCACCAATATTCTTGCTGTTTTTAAAACTTATTTCTAAAGTCGTCATGGTTTCAAAATATTGCACCCACACCTCCTCTAATAATTTTCTGATTATTTTCTTACAAAGAGGGGGCATTGATGCCTATATTCTAAACCATATGGGCACTCGTGTTCATTTCTTATTTTTATTTTATTATTTGTTTTTTCCTGTTTTCATATGTATTTAATATTTTTTCTCTTTTCCTAGATTTTTTTACAATGTTTTAAAAATTCAAAATTCTTTATGTTTGAAATAAAAAAATAAAAAAATTAACATTTGGACGTCCAAATAGCATATTCATTTTTATTTTTTGTTTTATTTTATTTCTTTTTTTATTCCTTCTCAAAAAAAATTACTCCGTACTTTTTTATTTCACAAAACAAAAAGAAAAAATTGTTAATTCCAGATGTATGGATGCATTATATGTTAATTACTCTTTCGTCTTAAAACTTTTTTCCCGATCACTATTCACATTGTCAAACTTTAATTACTTTCTTTACCTAATTTCTTTAGTTATTTGATAAAATAATGTAGTAATGTCACATCTTGTTTGTAAAACTTTTGATGTAGTTTTAAGTATATAATTTTTAATTTTTAAGTTTACACCTATTATCTAATAAATTGAATTCAAAATGACTTCAGTCAAACATCGTAAACCAAACTAAGAAAGAAGTTTTAAGACGGAGGGAGTATTACTTTTTGAAATAGAAATTATTTTTTATTTTAAGAATATTATAAAAAATTTGTAAATTTTTTTTAAAGACCTTGATTAATAAAGGAGTATTACTTTTTGGATTTCTACTACATTATGAGTTTGAGTTTGGTGAGAATTGAGATTATGTAAGCATACTCTTTGGCGTGAAAGAGGGAATATCTAAACAATTCCCGCCAAATTGGAGAGGGAAGAGTGGAAGCTGAGTATCTCGCGCGTTTTCGACCCCCACAAATCCCTCCTTTTCTCAGCCTTCTTCAATCCCTCATCTGCAAACCCGAAACGATCTTAGGAAACCATTGATAGAATCCCAAAACTTTAACAGCAGAAAGCGAGCAATCTAATCACATCCATTAATGGACGGCAATTTCACCCCCAGCAAGTCTCGGATCTATATCCATCTTGACTGCTCAGATCGGACCAGATTCAGCTCAACTCGATTCAGTCCCAGCGACCCGAATTTCCAAAAGCTCTATCCGATTCTCATGAAGCGGAAGCACCCGTGGCCGGAGACAGCTGAAGCAGCTCAGCCAATTCCCAACGATGTGTCCCGTAACCTTAGGGTTCGGAGGGTGTTCTCTCCTAACGCCGTGATTGAAGAAAATAGCCAACATTTTGAGCCTGGGTTCAAAAATCATAGTCTCGGGTCTTCTGGGGAAGAATCAACGAAGAAAATTGGAATGGTACTGGAGGATTTGAAAAATGGCGAAGCTGTTGTGGGTGCCCAATGCTGCGGATCCAAAACGGAAGCTGTAAGAGACGAAGGTCTCAACAAGTCAGTCTCAAAAGAGGGTAATGGAATTCGTGACAATAGAAAAGAACCGGGTCATCCTCCATTCAAGCTCATTCGCCCAAATGAGCCAAGCTCTACAAACAAACAGGTCTTGAATTTTGCACTGAAAGTGGCCTGAAATGCATTTTTATTTTTGAGTTGCACAATTATTTGTTGAATTATCTGACCTGTTCTTAATTATGACTTTGGGGGTTTGAATGATTTGAACTGAACCAATGTTATTTAATTTGAGAGCGATAGTAGCATTCTTTATATGGTATTTGCATTATACTTTCTCTTGTGATGAGTGGATGATGCTAATTTGATGCAATTTGTTGTCTAGATTGTGAAGACAAACTTGTTAAGGAGGGCAGTAGAATCGTCAAGCTCATTCAGCTATAGAAGATTGCTGCCATATCTTATGGGCTTAAATGATGACAAATCTTGTAATCTCTAGCTCCCACTTATTGTTATATCCTTTGATAATTCAAACAAGTAATAATTACACATGCACGCCAATTGGAATATAATCATAGATGTGCTAATATCTGTTCATTGACTAGGCTCTTCTGAAATTAAGACCGAGGATACATGTCGAGAATCCAATGTTCTGGATGTTGATAGTAGGAAGTCTAGCTCATCTCTAGACAAGGGCAACTGTTATTCTTCTAAAAATGAGCCCGTGGTTGGACACTCAGATGATTGTAAACCCCTGCATAGTGGAGAAGTGGACAATGGCGTGTTCAAACTTCCATGCGAACAACTGGATAAAAACTGTGGCAGTCTTTCCTTGACTCAAACCGAGCCCAATGTTGGATTGCTTAATGGAATGGGTAGTGCAACAAGAGATACTATTTTGCTGACACCACCTGATCCTGACATATCTACAAAAACTGATACCAATGACTCTAAGGCTTGCACAGCTCAAACTCCTCAGCAAAATGATAAAATGTTTCAACAGCATAGCAGTAATACGACCTGCACCTTGAAAACTTGTTGCCAGAATCCTGCTGATAGAAATGGCAGTAGTTGGAAGTCCAAAATGGTAAATGGCGCTTGACCTGTGTTCTCGTTTAAGATTGCAGATCAATTTACTGTCCATTAAAGCTTATGTAGCCCTTATTTCATTTACTTATTTGAGTAATGAGTTTTTGGTGGAAAAAAGCCCTCCTACTCCTTGGCCTATCTTTCTTTGCATCCTAATTTATGATGGTTTGATCTATTTAGGTTTTGAATCCTTGTTCTAGAAAGAAGGTTCTGAACCCTCCATGCTCTGTTAGCTATGGACAACAGCTTCCATATCTGCTGGATGTTGGAAATGGTAACCATTCTATTCTTGTCATTCTTCATATATGATATGATATGTCATTAACACATGGCAGTATCCTCTGTATATTACTTACTAGCTGTCTAAACTATAAACTATTATGGCAACTAGTTGAACTTATGATGCTAATTTCTTATAGATTCTAAAGATGAGGCAGATGTTATAGAATTGAAAGATTCTTATCCTCTGAAGTCACAAGCATATACAGCTCATACAGCATCTGAAGTCCTTTCTGCAAATGTATCTGTTGCCACATCAAGTTCTATTAGTGAATCCATAAAAAATCCAACAGACATTTTGGAGGTAAATGACGGGCCTTCAGTAGGACACACCTTGTCACATACTACCAATCATCTAGAGACAGATCTGGCAAACGGTACTAAAAAAACTGATCATGGGGAAGTGAGTTGTGACGAAGTTCCATGTAGCCCTATTATTACTGATGTTGTATTACCTACAACACCAGAATTGTCACAGCTTGGAGAAACTAAATGTGATGGTGATGACATCCAAGAAGTTCACCACGAAGATAAGACATATGTGGATGGAAGTGATGTTTCACATGAAGTGAAGCCAGATACCTCCACTTCTGCAACAACTCATACTGTAGATTCTAGTGAAGATCTTTTTAAGAGGTCTGCTATGTCGATGGATTCAGATTCTCAAGGTGACCGTGAATATAGAATTCTAGTAAATGAAAACACTTCAAGTGAAAGCTCAACATCTGTTGAAGAAACCAGTCTCACAGTAGCTTGTGCTGCTGGTCATGCTGAAACTCTGCCGAAGGACTGCAACTCAGCAACCATACAGCCCGAGCACTTGGAGAAAAACTGCGGTGACCTGGTTGAAACAGTTACTTTTAATGAAAGCCAGACTGAAATTCAGACATTAAACACTTCCACCTCTCAAACTGAGAGTACCATGAAAGGGGTATTGAAGAGAAACCCAAGAGGGTGTAGAGGACTATGCGAGTGCCTTAACTGTGCGTCATTTCGCTTGCATGCTGAAAGGTCGTTCGAATTCACTAAACATCAGATGCAGGATGCTGAACAGGTTGCTCTTGAGTTGATCAGGCAACTAGCAGACATTCGCAAACTGCTGGGGAGTTCTGCATCCATCGAGAACAACTTTTCTCTATTAGAAACGGCTCAGGTAAGGCTATCTACATGAACCTTCTCACAGCAAAGTTGAGCCTTCCTGCATCATGCAGTGTAATCGATTTTGAACTACATTCCATCACCATAACTACGCAATGGACTTTGTCCATTTTATTTTTTCTCTATAAATTTAAGCAGAGTTTTTTTCTCACTAACATATATCATCTTGGTTTAAGACTGCAAATGATTCATATATCATGTGTTGTGTGTGTTTCTGATATTATCGCCTTCAACATAGTTCTTTTTCTTTTAATTTAAGGCTCAATTCGTCATATTCTAAGTTCTCATATTTGATCTCATCTATTGCAATTTGCTTCTCTTTTAATCAAGGTTAATGATGCATGCACTAAAGCACTGCAAGCAGAACAACTAGCAAAAGAACGGCTCAGTGAAATGAATGATGATCTCCAATATCATTGCAGAACTAGAGTAAGCACCAATCATCTTTCTTTTTTAAGTATAATAACCTAATCTGATTTTTCAGCTTCAATTGCTTTCTTGTAAGCATGAGTATCTCATGGGCATATCAAGTTTAAAAGTACTAGATAAGGCTTTCACTTTACGGCTTATATCTACTTCCTTTTCTATTCAAGAACATGTATTGTAATACTGTAATGCTTCGTATCGATTAATCAGAGTTTCATATGGATCAAAGTTTTCCCTTTCTTTTCCAAATATTCAACACAAGTCACTTTCAAGTCTCAACACCTTCCATTTTACAGCCTTTGCAGCGTCCAAGGGTAACATTTTCTATCTCGGCACCAGACTTGTCAGCTTGTCCCAAGAACATAACAGATTGCAAAAGAAAGAGAAGTTGGAACAATGTGAGGTGAGCTGCTCACATATAGACTGAGAAACAAGACATAAAAACGGGTTTGAATCAGAAGTAGACTCAGTTGTTCAGTTGACCCGCCATTTAAACTCCTCCCTGGTTGAAGAAAGTACACTAGGACTTTTTCTTTTATCATGCATGAGACCTACGACACTGAGTTTTATTTGCACTCTGTTACAAAGGATATTCGGGGCAAAAGCTTATTAAAATATATATTGGGGGCAAAGCTTTATATTTATAATAAATTATACTTCGGATTTAGTTGTTGACCTTGTTTTCGTTTCCTCGGAATCAGTCAAAATTATAACGAATTCTCTAAAATATTACGTTCTATACAGTGTATGAGCACTTTTGGAAAACTTGACATGAAAGTCCGAAAAAAAAGACTCTTAGAGCATCTCCAATCATGCTTGTTATATGAATTTGTTATTTTTACATTATAGCAAGTAAATAGTGATATAACAAGCATTTTTTTGCTTCATTCTCCAAGCATTATTTGTTATTTCATTTTTTAAGTATTGACTAGCTAAATTTTGAGGGACTTGTCATGTTTAGCAAACCAAATTCATTTTTGGCAAACTTGCTAAAATAAAGTATGCCCCTTGGAGAAGAACAAAAGTGTTAAACTAGTTATATTATACTCCCTCTGTCCACAAATAAACTTTACATTATGCGTTACGATGTTTGACTGAAATTATTCTCAAATCATTTTATATGAAAAATGGTGTAGAATTGAAAAATAAAAATTACATATTAAAAAACTATATCAAAAAATCTACAAAACTAGAGGTGACATGACTATATTATTTTATCAAATTGATGGCGAAAATAGGCCAACAAAGTGAATAAAGTTTGACCATGTGAATAGTGAACGTAAAGTTTATTTGTGGACGGAGGGAGTAACTTTTAGCAAGTTAAAATGATATGGTTGGAGATGCTCTTAGTTACTCCCTCCGTCCTATAATGATCTTTCCGGTTCGCAAAACGAAGAAAAAATCCCAAGTTTTTTCAATCTATTTTCTTTAAATATTGGTATAGAAATAAAAAATAAAACATACATATTTAAAAACTACATCAAAAGTTCAACAAAAGTGGTGACAAGAATATTTTATTTTATCATATAGGCCATGAAAAAACACAAATAAATATAAATTCCCGTGAAGTTGGAATAGTGCTCTGGGAAGATCATTATAGGACGGAGGGAGTATTATTTATAGATCAAACGAATCTTACTTTATTTATAAATTTTCATCGATCATTTGATAATATAAAATAACACTGTCACCTTTTGTTTTGTAGAACTTTTGATGTGTGTGTGTGTGTATGTGTATATATATATATATATATATATATATATATATATATATATATATATATATGCTTTTTATATTTTAATTTTACACTAATTTTTTCTTATATTAATTTAAAATTATTTCAGTTAAACATCGTAAATCGAACAAAGTCTTTATGGGACAGAGGATTTGAGGGTCCCATTGCACCCTATTGGATGAGTTTGAAAAAAAGAAGGTTTGGTAGGGGGAGTGGCGGAGTTCGGAGTTGGCCAAAGAACTCAAAATTGTTCGATAATATTGTACCCCGGAGTAATAATCAAAATCAAAATACTCTGCAATAAGTTTTAGAGTTTTAGGTACTGTGTTCATTTTCTTAAAAACATCAGAGATCATCAATTACTTCATCGGTTTCAAAATAAAATACCATCTTTTCTTCTTTTTTGCTCTCGATACATTTTGTTTATTTATATGTTTACATTGAATATTTGATCAAATAATAAAATATTTTTGTCTTCCCTCGTTTTGTAAATTTTTGACGTAACTTTTTTAATCAGGGCGATACCCATGACATTGCCCGGGAATTTCATGGGATGACCTGGGACCGCTTCGTTGTCTCGTTCGTAAAATTGACGGTTTTTACCTCTTAACTATCTGGTAAATCCCCCGCTCCGACCTGAACACACCCCACCCCCTTCAATTGCGCTCCGACCTGAACACACCCCACCCCCAAAGTTAATTTTGACTTTGAGTCAATTTTGACTCCAAAATAAAAATTAACTTGGGAGGTGGCAATTGAAGGGGGAGGGGGAGGGGTGTGTTTGGGTTGGAGTGGAGTTACTGGGGGTGTTAGGAGAGTTAGGAACTATCAATTTTATGAACGGGGTATCAGAACGCTCCCGGATCATTTCATGGCATGCGGTTCTAATGTCATCATGTGAACTCCACCCTTTTTTAATGTGTAATTTTTATTTTTCTTATTGATGTACCAATTTGTAATCAAATTAGGGACGGAGAGAGCATATAATTATAATAAGTATGTTTCAAATGTCAATTTTTTCGGATTCCAATTTAAGATTTTGTATTGGACTGGATCCGGTTCGGATTTGGATGAGTTTGGATATTTTGGTGTATATAAATATGAACCAGCACGTACTACTACTACTACCGACGATAGGATGATGACATGAGAGAAATGGAAAAGGCCAAAATGCACCTTTCGATAGTAAAACGCATAAACAGAATTAATTCTGCACACACCAATGATTGATTAAAGGTGGTGCATGTGAAGACAATTGGAAACACGCCATCCCACTCATTTCTTTCTTCTTTTCCCATACTCTTTGTTTGTTTTCCTTGTTCAAAATTTGGGACAATCTAAGTAATACTCCATCCCATTCTAAAAATTCTTTCATACTCCCTCCGTCCTATAATAATGATCTTCCCGATTCTGTTTACGAAGTTTGACTGACTTTATTTTTAATTCAATTTATTTGATTGTAGGTATAAAACTAAAAAATAAAAATTATATATTTAAAAACTACATCAAAAGTTCTACAAAACAAGTGGTGACAAGACTATATTATTTTATTAAATACCTAATGAAAATAAGTAAAGAAAGTGATTAAAGTTTGACCGTGTGAATAGTAAGTGGGAGTATTTTAATTTTTAAAGTCTAACAATGATACTATTTGACTATAAATTAAACGTAACCTCAATAAACAAATCATAAAAATTTTATATATCAAAACTATATCCTAAGATAAATCTAATTGTATTTAATTATATTGAATTTATATCATAATTCAATATAAATACTTTTCTTACAATTTGTAATCAAAGGTTGTCACTATTTGATAAGGAAATTGAAACATGAAGAATTTTTAGGATAGGAGGGAGTCAAAATACTTCCCAGTCCCGATTTTGATTATAATTTTTTTCATTCTCATCTTGGATAAATTTTATTTATTTGTATATTTTTATTGATTATTTGATAAAAGAAAATATTTTTATCATCTCTTGTTTTGTAGAACTTTTAACGTAGTTTTTTAATATGTTATTTTTTATTTTTATCAGTATACGGGGGAAATATAATTTAGAACGGGGGAAATATAATTTATATTTTTGTATACGTGAAATTTTGTCTCGTAAATTCTAATTTGTAATCAAATTTAGAACGGGGGAAATATAATTTACATCCTTAAAAAGTACGTGAAAAATTTTTCAAAGTAAATAGTGATGAGAATATTTTATTGTATCAAATTGTCAATAAAAGCGTATAAATAATTAAAAATTATTGCATTTTTTGAGCCAATGTTTTTTTTTTGAGATAGAAAGAGTAGGACATTAGATTTTATAACAACAACAAGATGTGGGATGAGAGTGAACAACAAACATTTTAAAAGAGAGATTTATTTATTTGTGACGTTTGAATAATACACGGAGTAATTAACATATATATATAAATTAGCACTCGGGAGGGAAGCCCTGAGGGAAGCGTTTGGAGTCGGTGCAGTAATTATAGATCATGAAGTTCTTCTGGACCCACCTCAGCCTCCTCCGCCCGTACGCGTCCAGCTCCGCCTGGTTCTGCCACCCTGCTCCGCCGCCTCGGTAGCCGGTGGCGGCGGTGAGGGGCTGGGCGTTGAAGTTTCGGTAGTAGGCGGTGAAGGGGGCGTGGGACCAGTCGGTCTTGACCAGGCCCCCCCTCGTGGCCCAGTCGTCCGCGTTCCACAGGCTCGAGTAGATCTTCATCGGCTGGCTCTTCGGGAACGGGACCCCGACTGACTCCGCGTTCCTGAACACCCTTATCGGCGTGTTGTCCACCATGAAGCTGCACATTTTTTTTTACAATGAGAAAAAATATAAAAAGTTATGGAAATGGGAGTTATAATGCTAATATTAAGGGGGGTAAAAATGTAGAAAATATACTAAAATAAGTGTTCTATGTTTTTATTTCTAAAATAAAATTAAAATCATATACATTCTCAAAAAGTATTATATTGTAAAATATCCACATACATAAGACGATTTAGTATATTAAGACGATAATATTCATTTTTTCTCTATGTTTTACTTTTATTAAGACGATTTTTTTTAATATTAATATATAGACAAATTCTTCAATGGTCTTGAGGTCCACATTAATTTTATAGAACTGAGTTTGAAAAAATAAAAAATCTCTATGTCAGACTAAGAAAAGTGTGAGAAAATCCACATTTCATTCGCATGTGAATCTTAGGATCATGGAAACACATCTCTAATATATAATACTGAAATTATAATAATAATAATAAAGAATACTAGGCACATTACTACAATATAATTTTTTTAATTTTTAAAGATAAAAATATGTCACTCTTATTTTGATATGGATGTTATAAAAAATAAAATAAAGTAAGAATAAATTAGTGTGAATCCTACAAATAAGACCAAATATAGAACTATCGTTCGTTTGGATTCATTGCACTAATCACTTTTAAGGTTTTATAAGATCCTTTAATATCTCTCCATCATCATTTTTTTAAACTGGTATTTTCCGTAATATAAAGTGACAAAAAGAATGAGGGCCGGGGTACAAATTAAAAATGAGAAATAGAGGAAAAGGTTAAAAGGGTAAAACGGTAAACCAGTAATTAAGTGTCTTCTCAAGTCAAACCTTCCAGAGCTTGCGTGGCGCTAAGGATAAGTATTGCCACCGTAAATATTAGAAAAGGATAACTATTGCCGCCGTAAATATTCAGAAAGGATAAGTATTGCCCGGAACTCCACTCCAAACAAAAAATTGTTACATTTGGTTCAAAAAAATTGAAAAAGAAAAACAAAGATATGAAATATAGAGTAATTTTTTTATTTGGTTAGGGAGAAAAAGAAAATGAAAAAAAATGTTATCATCCGTCACGCAAAACATTTCATGTTTTGACTTTTGGAAGATGAAACTGTTGATTTGACCAAGGTGAAACAACGAAAATCGAAAGGGCTTAAAAAATGTTAAAATGAGTAGGGCGTTATAAGGTAGCTGAGGTAGCTTCGGTTAAATTTAAGAAAAAAAGGGCGAAGAATTGGTGTAGGGAAAAATCAAAATTTGGTGTAAAAATGAGCTTACATGATGTGTTGGGGCTTCCAAATGATGGAGTAAGTGTGGAAGTTGGTGGTTGGGTCAAACCAGAGTTTGAACTGCTGTTCCCTCCCACCTTTCCCTTGTGCAAAAACATTTGTGTGTAGAGTGTATGGCTCACCACTCACATTCCCCAAGAACTCAAAGTCTATTTCATCATGTGCTGCCCCTTGTGATGATAGCTGCTCAAACAAACCAACCAACCCAAAAAAAAAAATACATTAAAAACACCGCATCAAGGGTAATTTCGGAAATCAACGCAAAAATATTCCTTTTTTCTAATCACATAAAAGTCAAAACGAGAAAGAGATTTCGAGACGAAGAGAGTACATAGTATGCAGTGACAGTGCCAGCAGAGTTGCCAGCAACAAGCTTGACTTGCATATCAATCCTACCAAAGAGATACTCTTTCTTGGACTGAAAACCGGAGCCAGAGCCCCTGTCCAGAGACAGGGTGAGAAGCTGCCCTTTCTCCAAAATCTTGGCCCGGTTTTCGCCCCAAGTCAAGTCGAAATCCTGGTCGAAATTCCCGGCATGGCACACCATGGAAAGGCCAACAAGCAAGATTGCAGGAAAGAGCAGAAGAAGGGTTTTGGAGGGGTGCCCAATGCTTTTGGGAGTGCCCATGCTTTTTTAGGACAATTATGGTGGGGGAGAAGAAATGGGAAGCTAGAGAGGCCTTTTTTTCTTTGTGGGGTTTTGGATGATGAGGGATCAAAGTGGGTGGGAAGTATATATAGGAGGGAGTTGAGGTGGGAGGCTATGAATTACGGAGTATGTATGAAGGATGGGTAATTGTTAGATTAATTAATTGTATTGTATATGCCTTGTTCCTATATAATTACTCCATATTTTAATTTTTACAATTATTATTATTATTATTATTACTATTATTATTATTACAATTATTATTATTATTATCACTATTATTATTATTATTATTATTTTACCTAAATAGGACTAAAACATAATAACTTTCTTAATATTGGATCATATATTTTTATTTTCCAATATAGGACCATTGGTCATTATCTATTAGTCATTATTCAACTAAATGTTCAGCATCACTTGAACATTATTCTTCTCACTGGTCATTATTAAGTCCTATTCAGGGTTTGTTAAAAGTCTTACATTGAGAAATGACTTATGTTTTAGTCTTACTCAGTGCAAATTTCACTTATTTTATTATCTGTACTCTCTCTCTACATTCTTAGAAGAGTTTCACATTGTTACACTCTTTTCAAAATAAAATTTTATACTTCATTTTTTAAATACATCTTCATATCTTTCTTTGAGAACTGAGTATGTGGTTTTCTTAATCATATCATTTTTCTTTTCTCAAAATAAATTTCAATGCATCCATTCTACTTTAAAGTTTAAAGTTCTAAACTAAATACTCCATCCGTCAAGTTAGGGTAAATTTCAAAAATGGTACCTCAACTTTTACGAAAATTTCGATTCAATACCTAAACTTCAAAACCTTTCAAAAAAATCTCTAAACTTCGAAAACCTTTCACGAATGGTACCTGAAGTCGGTTTTCAGATAACCAGCAAGTCATTTAGGCCAAATTTTAATTTTTTGTATTTTATAATTTCTAAATTGACCCCGAAGTTTCTTTTATTCTTTTCCCTCCCCCACCCCTTCTTTGTCTTCTTCTTCTTTCACCCCTTTTCTTCTTCTTCTTTTTTCACCCCTTTTACTCTTCTTCTTCAAAGCTCCCCTCACCCCACCCCTNTCCCCCCTCGATCTCTTCTTGAGCTCCCTCCCTCTTTTTGTCTTTCCTTTTTCACATTTTTTGTTTTTTGTTTTTTTTGATCTTTTTTGTTTGTTTTTTTGTTAAAATATTTGTTTTTTTTTTATCTTTTTTCTTGATACTTTTATATTATTTGTTTGTTTGTTTACGAGTATTTTGTGAACTTTTTTTTGTAAGTTTTTTAATCTATTCTCTTAAGATGTGTTTTATTTTATTGTTTGTTTTACTTTTTTATTTTTTTGATATTGTTTTGTCTTATTTTTTTTACTTTATTATTTTTTGTTTTTTATATTTTTATATTTTATTTTTTTCATAAAAATGAATAAAAAAATTAATTAGCATTTGGATTTGTTCTTTTTTGTGGGTTGTTCTCTTTTTACGTTTCGCTTATTCTTAGTTTGACTTATTTTATTTTATTAATTGATGAGTTTTATTTTATTGAACATTTTCGTTAAACAAAAAATAGCATACCATGCGTTTAATGTTTTTGTTTGTTTTATTTGAAAACAGACAAAAAAGTTAACAAACAAAAAATATCAAATAAAACAAACAAAAAAGAAGACGTATGGTACGATTTTTTTGTTTAACTAAAATGATCAATAAAATAAAACAAATTAATTAATAAAATAAAATAAGCCAATCTAAGAGTAAGTGCAACATAAAAAGAGAACAACCCACAAAAAAACGAATCCAAAGGTCAATTAGTTTTTTTACTTCATTTGATGAAAAAATAAAATATAGCATAAAAATAAAAAACAAAAAATGATCAAAAACAAACAAAAATAAGATAAAACAACATCAAAAAAATAAAAAAGTAAAACAAACAAAAGAAATAAGACAATTCTTAAAAGAATAGATTTAAAAAACTTACAAAAAAAGTTCACAAAAAAAATTCTAAACAAATAAACAATTTAAAAATATTAATAAAAAATATAAAAAAATTTGTTTCTTGAAATCTTTATTTATTATTTATTCCTTTTGCCTTTTCTCATTTTTTACTTTTTTTTGTTTTCTGTTTTTGTTTTTTTTCTTTCTTCCTTTATTTATCTGTTTCCATTGTCTTATTTTTTTTTCATTTTTTGGTTATTTATGTAGGGTTTATTTTATTCACTTGTTTTGTTTAATTGTTTACATAAAGATTTATAAACAGACAAAAAAATAAGATGTGTGCTTTGATTTTTTTTGTTTAATTAAAATGATTAAACACAATTGATTAAGTCAAACAAAAAAATCAAAAACAAAAACAAACAAAAAATTAGACATTTGTAACCAACAAAAAAGTTTGTACAAAAATCGGAAACAAACAAACAATATTTAAACATCAAGAAGAAAATAGAAACAAACAAAAAAATACAAATAAAATAGACCGAAAACAAAAAAAATAAAAATAAATATATCAAAAGAAATTGAAAAAAATTAAAAAAGTTATTCAACAAAAAATTCGAAAACAAAAAAACATTTAAAGAGGAAGTTAAAATTAAACAAAAAAAGAGGGGACTCAAGAAGGGGGGTGGGGTTAAACAAGTAGGGTGGGGTGGGTTGTTGTTAGTGGAGGGTTTAATGAAGAAGAAGAAAAAAAATGGGTGAAAGAAGGAAGAAAAAGAAATTAAAAGAAGAGGTGAAAGAAGGAAGAAGAAGAAAAATAGGGGGGAAAAAAGAAGAAAAAGAAGGGAGTGGGAGGGGGAGAAGAAGAAAAAAGAAATCGGGTCAAGTTGAAGATTTTAAAATATACTCCCTCTGTCCCTAAATAAACTTCTCCTTTCATTTTTTCTTTGTCCCCAAATAAACTTCTCTTTTCTCTTAAAAAACTTCTTTTATCCCTTACTTTTTCATACCCTACCTATCACATCATACCTTTTTACTAATAATCTATATATCACATCTTACTTTTACACATCACATCAAGGGTATTTTTGGAAAGTCAACACAAAAATATTCCTCCCTTAAATATTCAAAAAGTCAAAAAGGGGAATTTATTTAGGGACGGAGGGAGTATAAAATTGTAATTTGGCCCAAATGACCTGATGATTACTTGAAAACCGGCTCCAGGTACCATTTGTGAAAGATTTTCAAAGTTCAGGAATTTTTATGAAAGAAAATAAAGTCTAGGTACCAAAATGAAAAATAGCTAAAAGTTCAGGTAGCATACATGAAATTTACCCGTCCAAGTTAATACATTCTTTATAGTTCAACACTTTTAGTCAAAGCTGTTACATACGGTTACCATGATTAAATATTACTTTTGTACAAAAATAATCTTCTCGTTCCTAATTTACATAGTCAAATTTTATTCATTTTGTTAACTTATTTTCGTTGTCTATTTGATAAAATAGTCTTCCCACCTCTAATTTTGTAGATATTTTGATGTAGTTTTAAATATACTCTTTTTGTCCCAAAATGAATTATTCTTTTGATCAACGTGCAGAATCTAATGACTTTTAAAATTCGTAAACCAGACAAGATGGACTCATCTTAGTGTATGTTATGCCGAGTATATTGTCTTGAGATACTCAACAATTTATTGTATTGGTCCATGATCAGTCGTGAGTTGACCATTTAGTAATTGTTAAAATTACTAACAATGAACTTCTTGCTAGAAGCATCTTCAGCTATATATTCTTTTCAAGACCGTCATGGAGCAAACTTGTATATTCAACATTCTGGTAGTTATCAAAGAGAGAATAAGACATACCATTGAGAATGTGACCACGAAAAATGTAGTAATCATTCTCCCATTTGGAGAGCCTTTCTTCCTCCATGATCTCAGGCATCAGTGTGCTCAATACATATACAACCTCAATATGGTGAGAAAGAAGTGCATCTTCTTTTACCAATGACAGAAATCTTGACCTTCAAATTTTATAGTTTCGAGAACTTACACGTAAGATCTCTCATAGATTCGCCACCCGTTATCTTCACGTTGTTTAGAGAAAAATAACTTTAGTCTTTGTTAGAGGATCAATTTTGTCTCAGGGTTGCTAAAGAGGTACTTGATAGGCTTATGAATCGTGAAAGAGTCACTTACAAACTAAAGGTATTTCAGGAAAACCAAAAATACTCTAATCAGATAAGATGTAAACGTTAAAGAATGAGTATGAAGGTTTTCTAGAAGAAGACTATAGTCATTTGGACTTGTTCTTGTTTTTTTTTGAAGAAATAGGCCATACATATGGCTATTTATAGGCAAAATACTGATTGGCTTTGTACTTTAAACTGAAAAATTGCATCAGTTCATTAATTATTCGAATAGCAAACATGTTGATTCAGATAGTTAGGCCATTTTTGAAGGTCCTGATGCATTTGTTCAGTGATCTATTCGAATGTGTTTAGGCAATGACATATTCGAATATGACGACCATTCACGTCCTGACCTGTTCGAATAGGCAAATAGCTATTCAAATAAAACCTTATAGTTCATTCTAACCTATTAGAATAGGCAATTACCTACTCCCTCCGTCCCTAAATAAACTTCCTCTTTCGTTTTTTCTTTGTCCCCAAATAAACTTCTCTTTTCCCTTAAAAAAAACCACTTTTACCCCTTACTTTTCATACCCTACCTATCACATCATACCTTTTTACTAATAATCTACCTATCACATCTTACTTTTACACATCATATCAAGGGTATTTTTGGAAAGTCAACACAAAAATATCCCTCCTTTAAATCTTCAAAAAGTCAAAAATGAAACTTTATTTAGGGACGGAGGGAGTATTTGAATAAGTCAGCCATTTTATTTTAAATAATCATACAATCGAACGAGCATGTACTCTACATTTCCTTACTCGTTTAATAGTTTTTATTATTTAATAACCAATCACTAAGTAAATCCAATTACCTAAAATAGTTCGATGACAATAAAATTACAAAGAGCGTGAATTCCAAATCTAACAAAGAACCATAAAACTCTACTATTTTTATGACATCCAAAATGAGTATCAACAAACAAAGAAATAGTGGGTAACACAATATAGTGTAAGGGAGTATACAAATTGGAGGATAGAGGATACAAATGTATAGGACATGCAGCCCCTAAA